TATTTGCTGACTGACTATTCATTGGAAGCCAACTTAGCAACACGGTGCTTTATTATTCCAGCACAGTAGATTTAACGATAATATTTCATGAACATTTTCCCACCATTTTCAAAAACCATTTTAATGAAGAAACACAAACATAATTGCACCATTTCTGCTACTACCACCAGGTCCACAGCTGAAACTATTAGTGCTAAGTGAAAGCTGAATATAAAGAAGAAATTTAGCCCAGGGGATTAATTTCTTCAAGGCTGGTGAGGAGGAGGAAGCAAACTACTGTTTTCCTTTTCACGGGAGTGCTATACAGGTTACCATCCACAAAGATAGAAAGGAATGATATGTAGTAGCTAATGACAAGGAGAAGCAACAGATTTTTTGGCAGTAGTACAAAGCCAGGAAATTTAGCAGTTTCCAGAGAGTTGCATGTGCTTTTCAGTGAAAAGGTTTGAGATAGCACTTCCTAATGAAATGCCAAAATCCACACCAAGAATGACTGAGTAGCAGTTTTTTTCCGTTTTCCCACTGAGAGTGAGATAGAAGATACATGATGTTTCATGTCACCGCCCAGTTTGTTTTGTAACAATATATGAAGAGAGACAGCCTGTTATACCACCTGTACTATACTGTTTGTTAGTATTTTAATAGGTAATTAATCTTGATTGGATAGGATTTAAGATTTCTATTTTTTGGCACATATGCTCAAGCTATTATGTTATAAATCTCAAACATTTCAGCAAATGTCATCCTGATTGTTCCCTACTGCACAGAACACTACTAGTGAAATATTCGAGGTCAAGAACTTGGATTCTTTACCCACCGTATTCAGGAAAACCAATTTATTGTTCTGTCTCAGTAAAGAGGGGTGATTTCTTTGGGGCCTATATTATATTGGCAGTCAATCTAGAAAACTTATAATTGCTTTTAGGCAATGGAGGTTTGGTAAGTGTGTTAGTCTGTTTCTGAATTTAAACACATACCCTTTAGCTATTACTATGACAAAATTTCATCTTTTAAATTACCTTTATAAGAATGAAGCATGTGCACAATACATTTAAATGATACATAAGAGCTTCTAACATAAAATCAAGAGCATGTCTTTGCACTTGCCTGGGGATAAAATCTTAGGAAGATTTTGAGGAGTTGTTTTTTTGAGACAGAATCTTGCTCTGTCATCCAGGCTGGAGTGACATGATGTGATCTCGGCTCACTGCAACCTCTGCCTCTTAGGTTCAAGCACTCTTCCTGCCTCAGCCTCCTAAGTAGCTAGCATTACTAGGTGCCCACCACCACGCCCAACTAATTTCTGTATTTTTAGTAGAGACAAGGTTTCATCATGATGGCCAGACTGGTCTGGAACTCCTGACCTCAAGTGATCCACCCACCTCAGCCTCCCAAAGTGTTGGGATTATAGGCTTGAGCCACCACACGTGGGCTTGAGAAGTTTCTAAAGCAATCTTTATACCAAATGGCCCTGGTTTGGCAAATTAATGTTCTTATCAATTTATTGGAATTAAAAAATTGAATGATGTTTGGCACTAAACCAAATCATTACAGATCATTTAAACTGAACTAAGTTTAAGCACTTTCTAAAATATGATACGGTTGATCCTCATTGTTCATGGATTACATATTTATGAATTTGCCTACTTGCAAAAACTTATTTGTAACCCCCAAGACCATATTTGAGGAACATTCAGAGTCATTCAAGAAGATGCACAGAGCTGCAGAAAGTCTGAGTCACCCAAGCCGCACGCCGCACACTCCTGACTGAGGCTGAGCAAGGCAACGCCCTGCCTTCTTGTCTCAGCTCACATACTGCAAACGAGTGTCCTTTCAGCCGTCTGTGTGGTGCCAAGTCTTTCACATTTCTCTTGTTACCTATTGGTGATTTTGCTGTTTAAAATGGCTCCTAAGCATAGTGCTGAAGTGCTGTTTGGTGTTCCTGAGCACAAAAAGGCTGTGATGTGCCTTATGGAGAAAATACATGTTTTAAATAAGTTTCATTCAAGCTGTTGCCCAGGAGTTCAATGCTAATGAACCACTCATCTATCTATCTTTATCTATCTATATAAAATAATATGTCCTTAGCAGAAACACTTAGAAGCAGGGTTACATTAATTGGCTGATGAAAACGTTGTGAGCTTGAGGGAACCTAACCATGTATTTCCCCTAGGAACAGGGCTTCAGTATGCCCTAATTCGGTGTTCACAGTGACTTTACAGAACAGGGGCACCACAAATTAATGAGGACTGACTCTAATTATTTTCAGAAATGACCTTAATACAAAACTTTCACTTCTGAGATAAAGACAGATTTTGCTTTTGAAAGGTAAGGGTGAACTCTCCACATTATTTAAAAAATATATATATATAGTAATACAATCATTTTTTTTAAAAGATAGTAAGAATGGATAAAAATTCTTTAAAAAATGACAATACCACCAGGCATGGTGGCTCACGCTTGCAACCCCAGCACTTTGGGAGGCTGAAGGGGGTGGATCACGAGGTCAAGAGATTGAGACCATTCTGGCCAACATGGTGAAACCCTGTCTCTACTAAAAATACAAAAATTAGCTGGGTATGGTGGCGTGTGCCTGTAGTCCCAGCTACTCGGGAGGCTGAGGCAGGAGAATTGTGTGAATCTGGGAAGCAGAGGTTGGAGTGAGCCAAGATGGCGCCACTGCACTCCAGCCTGGTGACAGGGTGAGACTCCATCTAAAAAAAAAAAAAAAATGACAATACCAAGTGCTACCAAGAATAAGGTGCAACTGAAACTCACATACACCACTGATGGAAATGCAAATGGCCCAGCCACTTTGGAAACAGTTGATCAGTTTCTTAGAAAACTAAACATATGTTAATATAGAACAGGAATCCTACTCCTAGGTAGGCTTACCCAAGAGAAATAAAAACAATTGTTCACACAAAAATCCAAACATAAACATTTGTAATGGCTTTAGTTAAAACTGCCAGAAACTGAAAACAACTCAATGTCCTTCAACTGGTAAACGAATAAACAAATTGTGGTACAGCTAGCCAATAAACTATCCCACCACAACAAAAAGGCATGAAGTGGCCAGGCACAGTGGCTCCCAGCACTTTGAGAGGCTGAGGCAGGCAGAGACTCTGAGGTCAGGAGTTTGATACCAGCCTGACCAACATGGAGAAACACTGTCTCTACCAAAAAATACAAAAATCAGCTGGGCGTGGTGGTACATGCCTGTAATCCCAGCTACTCAGGAGGCTAAGGCAGGAGAATCATTTGAATTCGGAAGGCAGAGGTTTCGGTGAGCCGAGATCGCACCATTGTACTCCAGCCTGGGCAACAAGAGCGAAAAC